CGATGCTCCCCGAGCGCTTGCGTAGCTCTGTCTGCGGAAGCTGCAGCTGCGCGTGCGACGCGCGGCGCGTCAGCGCGGGGATGCGCGATGGCCCGGGCGACGGCGGGCTCGCCTGCGGGTGGTGCTGGTGCTGCGTCTGCTTCAGGACGGGCGACGACGGGACGTGGCGCAGCGTGTTGGGCGGCAGGAGCTGCGGCGTCGGTGTCGGTGGCTGGCTCTGTATCTGCACGGTCTGCGAGAGGTGCGCATACGATGCGCGACGGCTGAGCGGGAGGCGGGGCGACATCGGCGAGGGCGGGGGCGCCTGCCGCGGGACGGGCGACGGCGCGGGCGGCTGCTGGGGCTGGGGCTGTTGTCGAAGAGTACGACGCGCGATGGGCGACGACTGGGGCTGGGCAGGTTGCGGGCGGGGCGACGTAACCGGGCGATACAAAGACGGCGAAGGTGACGAGGGCGGGGGCACGACGGATAGCGGGGAGGGCTTCTTCTTCCGCGCGGGCGGCGCCGTCAGCACCGCGGCCTGCTTCAAGGGCGGGGGTGGCGGCGGGCCCCGTGCTCCCGATCCTGGCGCGCCCCCAAACCCAAACGGCCGACGTCCCACACCAACACTCTTCCCGAACCGCGCGCGCGCCTCTGCGACGGAGGGCAAATCGACGCGCGAGCCGAATGTCGGCGTCCCGCAGCGGCTGCTCGCGCGCTCGACCATCTCCATCTCCCCTGCCTCCACAGCGCCCCCGCCGGCGCTCGCACTGACACCTCCACCAACTCCCACATCAAAGAAAGCGGAACCACTCCCGGCACGCGCGCGGCGCTGCGGCGGGACGGGTACGGCGACGGGCACGGCGACGATATGTCCGAAGAGCGAGCCCGGCGCTTTGGTGACGCGCACGACCTTCCACCCCGCTGAGAGCGCGAGCGCGACAATCTCACGCAGAGTGCGCTCCTGCCCGTTGAATGTCACCTGCATCTGCACAGCACACGCATATAAATCAATCGTCTGCTAAGATCATCGAAGGGTGGTGTAGGACGAACGCACCGTAAGGTCCATCCAATACGCATTTGCGCTCGCCTTGCCGAGGTTCGCGAGCAGCGGCGCGGGCGCGAGCATCTTCTCAGCACCATCCACCTGCGGCTCCCTCTCTCTCTCCCGCTCTCTGTCCTTGTCTGCATTTCGATCCCCCTCTCCAACCCCGAAATCATCCACACACGCTAACGGTAGCACAAAATCCGCTAGGACAAGCCTCGTCCCCGGCGCTGCCGCCTCGCGCAGCCGAAGGAGGATGCGCTGCGCGAACGCGTCGGGCCAGTCGTGCAGCACGACGCGCAGGAGAAAGACCGCGGCGTCCATGATGGGCTGGGGCGTGAAGAAGTCGTGGACTGTCGTTCGAGTTAGCTTCAGCTTTTGTTTACGAGGAAAATATGGAAGGGAGGTGGAAATGACTCACCCTGGAACCGCACCGCGCCCGACTCGAGTAGCTCCGGGCACTTTGCGCGCCAGGCCTGAAAAAAAAAAAGCGTTTATCAGCCACCTTCTTCGTCTTTTGTACGCAAGACGCAACATACCTTCTCCCCCATCTCAACCACCACCGGCCGGTCCTGGATCACGAACCGCAGACCGCCGCTGCCTGTAGATGTGGAGCCCGTTAGCGTTGGTGCATGGACTCGAATGCAGAGAAATAGAGATGAAACAAAACAACCCACCATCAGCATCCACCTCCGCATACGCGCTCGCAAGCAGCATACTCGTCGAGCCGATCCCGCCGCCGACGTCCACGACCACGCTCCCGCGCGGGAGCGCCGCCCAGTCGAAGCCTACCAGAGGACGTTCGGTGAGTATTTCGGAAAAACGCGCAATTGAAAAAGCGAGAAAACGAGAGGGAGAGAGGCACGGGGAAGAAGAAACGCGCACACACCATGCAACACCGCCCCCGGCGCCTCCCAGCTCCCCGTCCCCGCCATCGCCTTCCCGAAACGCTCCAGCCGGAACCTGTTCGGGTTCGGGTTCGGGCTCTCCTCTTTCTTCGCGTTCCCATCTCCGCCCTCCTTCCTCACATTCGCATCCTCCTTCCTTACATTACCTGCCCCTGAATCAAGACCCACGCCAGACACAGGCGCAGGCGCACCCCACCCCTCCCCCTCCAACCACCCAAAATATCCGACGCCCCCACATCCGAAGGCGTAGTTGAATGGTGCGCGCGTGGGGTCGCTGCCTGTGCTACTTGTACTCGCGCTGAGGCTGCCTGTACTTGTTGTACTCAGAGTGCTGCTGGTGCTGCTGCTCGCGCCGGAGCTGAGGAACCCGGCGGGGTACAACCGCGCAGCGCCGGGGAAGACCGCCTCAGTGAGGTACGCGCTGGATTTGTACAGCTCGTCCGTGCTGTGATGAAAAAGGCAAGGGTATTAGCGAGAGGGAATAAATGGTACAGCGGAAGAAGGAGGGAAAAAAAGTGTGTATTCGCGTCGGGATTAGTCGAGGGAGAAAAAAAAATGGAAATAAAGAGAAACAAAGAGATCAAATGGGCTGGGCTCCACAACAAACGCGAAAATCGTGGATATATGCGCGCCTTTCGCGTCGGGGATCCCCATCCCGCCCCGGCAACGGAAGCTTGATATATGGACAAAAAGAAAATGCATTGCGCGTCCAGGTCCGCGCTCCAACAAGGAAGCAAGTAGGGAGGAAAAAATCAACGGCAAACCTCCCCCCGCACCACGAAAAAGAAAGTGAATCCCAGACAGACGCTCGAAAAGGAGGAGAGGAGAAAACAAAGAAACAAAGAAAAAGACCCACCAAAGCCCAACAAACGCAGCGACCGCGCTCGCGTCGCCGTCGTATTTGCGTTCCGGGCTGTCAAAATGATCAGGTTAGCAATGTATAAAAAAAACCAAGAAGAGAAAAAAAATAGAAAGTCGAAGAAAGTCGGTTCCCGGATACAACTTTAGGCACGGGCGCGGTCCCGACGCGCACGCTCCACGGCCTTTAGCTTGGCTAGCAGAAAGGAATTTCGAAAGGGAAAGCCGATAAGCCCGGCGCTTCTGGGTCAACGCATCCGAAAAACGTCGAGAAGCGACCCGATAAGGCAGAGAACGAAGGCAACGCGTAAAGGAAGCCTGTCAACTGAGATGACGAATGACTGACGCGTGCCACAGGATGGGATGGCGCGTGAACGTGAATGCGGGGATTTTTTTTTGGCGAAGGAGGAAGGGAGGAAGGGAATGGAGTACAGCCAAGACAGAAAAAGAAAACGCACTTTGCGCTGAGCGTGTGGAGAGGCTTTCCCGAGTCGATGAGGGAGCTGATGCGGTTGGCGGCAAAGACGTCGGGCGCGGCCTCGCGCAGGATGTGGTGCGTCGCGAGCAGGCGGAGGATATGTGCTGTGCGCATTCATTATCGAACGAAAAGAAAACGCGACGGAAAACCCACCCAACTTCGCCTGCTCTACCCCCGTCTTCGCAGCGATCTCCCGCACATGCATGGGCCCATCGCGCAGTACCTCCGCGACATGCGCGGCCTCGAAGAGGCGGAGACAGCTGGGGAGGTGGTAGCCCATTGCCGCGTCGCAAAGGAGGAGAAACGGAGTCTGCACAGAGGCAGCGAGCTGGCCTGAGGCGGCGACGATGCGGTTTATGGCGGCGACGACGGTTGGGTGGGCAGTGAGCTGCTCGGCGGGAGAGTTGGCGTCGTATGGGGCGTCTAAGGAGGGAAAGTCGAGGCCATTGACTGTGCCGGCCAGAGGGTTGGTGCAAGGCACAGAAGAGGAGGACGGCGAGGGCGGGGGACTGGCGTACGCGCAGGAGAACGAGTTTGCCTTCTTGTGGGTGGGCTGAGGGTGCTGCTGGTCTGCATAGACGGCCTCGATGTCGTGCAAGGCGTCGCCGAGAATTGCGTGCAGCGCGCGCAGAACAGCAAAGGTCATCCTGCGCAGAACAGAACAGAGACAAGCCAGCAACAGTTATTATAATATTTATTTATTTGCCTGTCAAACATTAAAGCCATCGATCGGACGCGTCTTCGCACAAGTTCTCGTGTCACGTCGCTTGCCCTGCCCCCTCGCCCTCTCCGCGGCCGCGAATAGCGCGTATTGAGAAGCTGCTGCTGATATCCATGCCATGAGAGAAAACGAGGAGCGTATTTGCGCTTGTTGGGCAGCACCTTCCCTGACACCGCCGCCGCCAGTTGAACTTTCATGTCCGACATTTCGGGGGATGTCCTCGGGGACCGATTCCGACGTCGACGGGGGTTGAGGTACGCGTTTGTAGTATTTTTTTGGAGCAAAATCGCACTGGCGGTGAAACACGAACGGCTCCCATTCGGACGAGCTCAATGTCCAGCCTCAGGACACCCAGGTTGACTTTCTTGTGGTTTCATGGAGCAGGAGAAAAAGGGGGCTGGCTGTCATATTGTGGCTCGGGCGTGATTTGAACACGCGGCTCCTGCTATGTACAAAACATCCCAGTCATTTCAATTTTCACAGACATGGACCAACCACCACCGACTCGGCCGTTCCCAGCCTGGATCTCACCCTATATATATCCCAACTGCTTTGGGAATAAAATTGAAGAATTAAGAGGGACAAAAAATCCAACAAGCAGAAACACTGCATGGCTCGAGCCTGCTTCAAACAGGCTTCTCCTACTCAAGTTCACATTCTCTCTCACTCTAGATGAACAATAGAGATGGACCATCCACCACCGGGCCCGTTCTCAGCCTGGATTTAAATCTCAATATAGTTATCCACGCGGCCTGTTTATCGATTGTCATAAACTGTGAACTAACGACTGGTTCGAGTCTACAAAAAAGGTATCTCAATGAGAATCAATGGCTCGCACCTGATTCGAACAGGCTCCTCCTGCTTAGCAGTACGACTTCCCACATTACTTTGTCCAGGTGTGGGCCACCGAGTGGTTCTCAGCCTGTATTTCACCCCGCGTATACCACCTGTGTTTTGAATGAAATAAAATTGAAGGAAAGAGAGGGAAAAAGTTATACACGACATTTATGAGGGCTCAGGCCTGTTTCGAACAGGCGACTCCTGCTCGTACACATGCGTGCTCACAAAGGAAAGCAGGTATGGGCCATCCACCACTGAGCTTTTCTGAGCTTGTATTCCATCCTCCATATGGCAACTCCCTTTTGAGTGAAATTGAACCAATGAGAAGGAAAAAATAGCAAACTACCCCATATTCTAAGAGCTCGGGCCTGATTCGAACAGACAGGTCCTGCTGCATTGCATCACATATTGTTTAATTGTTGCAGGTGTGGGCCATCCACCACCGAGCCTTTCTTACATCTGATTCAGCCGTGATATGGACAGGACCTTATTCCAGCAAAGCAAGGACAAAAGATGTTTTCAGGACCTAAAATGATGGCTCAGGCCTGATTCAAACAGGCTTCTCCTGCTCAATGCTTACAACCCCGCCAATAGTTGCAGGTGGACAATCTACCACCGAGCCTTATTTACCTCTACTTCAACCTTGATAGAGTTTAGATCTGTATAATCAGTTCAGACAGTTGAAGAAGAAAAAAAAGATGAAGGACAAATTGAACAGTGACTCTGGGCTGATTCGAACAGGCGGCTCCTGCTTAATCGATTGGACGCAACTTCAATAATTGCAGGTGTGCACTATCCACCACCGAGCCTTCTTACCAGTAACTCAACCTTGAGATGGGGAGCACTTTATTTTTATAAAAACAAACAAAAGAAACAAATTCCCACAACCGACAATGGCTTGGGCCTGATTTGAACAGGCGGCTCTTACTGTATCACATCTTGGAGTGCCCCAATTTCTGCTGGTGCAGACCATCCACCACCGAGCCTTTCTTACCTCTAATTCACCCTTGTCATGTGCAGCATTTTCTACCAGCAAAGAAAGGAAAAAGAGACGATCAGGAGGATCCAACTATGGCTCGGGCCTGATTTGAACAGGCTTCTTCTACTTGAGTTTGTCTCAGAATCGCTACATGGAAAGCAGGGATGGAACGTCCACCACCGAGTCGTTCTCAGCCTGTATTTAAACATCACTATATCAACTTCCATTGAGGAAAAACAGGAGGTACATGAAGCAGCAGTATGGCTCAGACCTGATTCGAACAGGTGTCTCCCGCTTCAAGCCCAGATATCCTGCCACTGGAAGCGGGTGTGGACCATTCACCACCGAGCCTTTTCAACCATGAATTCAATAACTTTGATATATCCAGGATTTATTCCAACAAGAAAGGAAAATAATTGTATGTCGATAATGATGATTCAGACACATAGCTCCAGTGTTCGTCCTCAAGGCCTTGGGTGGAGGTCTGGAGAATCCCAAGGCCTTGACCAAGCCCAAGCCTTTGACCCAAGGGCGCAGTCAAGGCCTTGGTTTAGTTTTCCCACGGATCTCAGGCTGCAACAAGATAAGAAACTTCCACCCTAGTCTAGGGACAATATTCATCATCTGACTCAATCTCAATAGCGCCCTCGTCGGGATGCGAGTTCTCCCCTGCATCCACATGCGCCTCTATGTCGGCCAGGGTATCCAAAAGTACATGGACTTTTTTTGGCGTCCCCGCGGTGGAAAGCGCGCAAAACGGGTTTTCCACCATGGTCGGAGACAGGCAGAGATGGAAGCTGGAGAAAACTGATAGTGACAGAATTTACAAATGGCTAAACATGATAGCCCAAGGCTTGGCCAAGGGCGGGTCTCCAGGTCAAAAAAATCCAAGGCCTTGACCAAGCCCTTGGGCCTTGGGCGAACACTGCATGATGATGGCTCAGGCCTGGTTTGAACAGGTTCCTCCAGCTGCTTAATGTTATGTCCACACTACTTTTTCCAGGTGTAGGCCACGTTCACCACTGAGCCATTCTCACACTATATCTCATCTGCCATCTGCCAACTCCGTTTCCAATAAAATTGGACAAATGAGAAGGAAAAAGTCTGGACAACGAAGGGCTCGGGCCTGATTCGAACAGGCGGCTCCTGCTCACACAAGAGCACAATTGACAGAGGAAGCAGGTATGGGCCATCCACCACCAAGCCTTTCTCATCTTATATTTAACCCCCATATCCCCGCAGCATTTTGAATAAAAACAGATAAATGAGACGGAAAAAGTTGGACACAGTGTGGGATGATGACTCAGGCCTGATTCGAACAGGTTTCTCTTGTTCAATTGAAGATTCTATGCCCACTAATATTTGCAGGTGTAGGCCATCCACCACCGAGCCTTTCTTACCTCCACTTCAACCTTGATACAGTTTAGATTTGTATGATCAATTGAAGAAGAAAAAAAGATGGAAACACAATTTGAACGGTGGCTCTGGGCTGATTCAAAACGGCGGCTCCTGCTTAAATTTATCGCATGGGACCTCAATAATTGCAGGTGTGGACCGTCCACCACCGAGCCCTTACTCCTTTTGAATAAAATCGAACAAATAGGAAGGAAAAAAAGTTATCGAAAGACAAAGAAAGGGCTCGTGCCTAATTCGAACGGGCGGAGTCTTCGCAGACAAGTAATAGATGTTGTAGCGGCAGTTAGCGAGAAGAGATGGTAATGAACCATGTAAAATATATGACAGAGTCGCGGAACATAATCCGCTTGAGTTGGGTTTCCATCCAGGTACTGTTGAACACAGTAGATGATTCTTCGCGTTGAATGAGATAGGCCTTGTAAACTACCAAGCCGAGCATAATGGTGTCGAAAACCATCATGGGAACCCTTGATAGGGAAGCAATGTCCATTCATCATGTTTAAAAGAAATGAGCAACCTTACAGATACGTAAGTAAGAATTTTACAATGATTTCGGCGCAAAGCTTCAGTGGATCAATCAGGGATGGTATCGGTTGAATATGAGCCTTAGTACTTTGGTGGAAGTTCCAATATCTGGGAAAGATAATTCCATCTCAAAGTCGGCGCGTGATCGGATCACGTATTATGTGCGGTTTGAAGACTATGATTTGCATTAAACACATTCAGGAGGAATCCGTGCTAGAATAATGTCCATGGTTCTGTCCTTGTCAAAATCCTCCGTCATTCAAGATTGAACTACATTCAGAGTAACGTTGAGAGTTTCCAAGAACGGGAACTGACCGGCCTAGGCACGAAAAACATGAGTCTGATAATTAGCAAAAAGAATTGTGACAACCCACCCCAATAAGAGTAAAGTGGGCAACACCGAGTTGCGCTTTTCCAGTGGGAATAAAGTCCGGAATTGTAACGGTAAAGTTTTGGTGCGGAGGTTTCGAGCGGGAGTCGTTTTGGAACTGCGGATTGAATGGACCATTGTAAAGGATGGTGCCAAGAACCTCGGAAGGCCCAGGGCACACAGAGTTTGTGCTGCCGCAGGGGAAGATTCCGATGACGACTGCGACCTCCGTAGAGCCGGTGAGCGTATCCTGTAATGTAAAGTCAACAAGGAATTCCTGTACGTATGTCTCACACGTACCGGTCGATCCACCTCCACAGTGATGTTGGATCCAGCTTGGACAGTTGTACCATCGGCGGGGGCACCGATTACAGCGCTCTGAGCGAACGCACTGGTCGCCAGCAGGGCGCTGAGAGCGAGAGAGGTGAAGAACTTCATTCTCGAGTATGTGTGTGAGGAGTGGAATGGTCTCGATGTATTCTGCTCGCTAGATTTTATACCCACACATTACATCATCCATAGCCGTTCCGGAGCAGAATGGATCAAAGCTGAAGCACAAACGGGAATGGAGACGGCTAGCTGAAACGACGCAGCATCGCCGCCGCATCAGCTCCGGGTTTGGAAATGTCCCCAGGATTCCAAGTGAGCCAGACGCACGTTCGGCAATAGGACGCACCTTCATCGATGAACAGCGAAAACTCGGCCCTTCAGATGAAGGACGGACTTGGAAAAGGTCGAATTCCAGGTCGAGAAGGTTGACAACGATTTGTGGTGCTGTGTGCCCTGTGACCAGCGCATGTGTCAAAATCCCGAGGAGCACCACAAAACACGGCTCCAAGCATGAACAGCCTGGAAATGCAGTCCATTCTAGCTCGATCTGGGGTTGTCTAGTTAGCTTTGGAGACTCATAGTCGGTCATCGATGTCCGCGCGCCGATGATCACCGACGTCTTGTTTCAATTATCGGGAAGCCCCCGCAACTCAATTGGTAAACAAATAAAACTTACGACATCATCTCGCCATCCTCTCACCATTGCCAGTCGCCGAAGCAGGGCTGTTTTTAGCACTTTACAAGCGGGATCCACGCACCTCTCGAAGACGCAGGATTGATGAACGGTTCAACCAGCGAACTGCAAGGAGATGCAAGCCCTGTGCCCATATACATTAACATTCCGCCTAACGTAGCATCCAATAAATTAAATCGTGAACTGTATCCGGGGCGTAACAAAGCTAGAAATCCTCTACCATTCCGTCAGTCACTGCTGGAATGGAAATTTTTGAGGGAAGACATACCCTTCCCGAAGAAGAATCGAGCTCCCCGCGGGTCAGTATTCATAACGGAGAGTGCTTCCGAGCGGAGGAGGACCACAGAAAAACTACACACGATGCTCATAAGTAAAGAATGAAAGCGCGGGTAAAGAGGGACAGGAAGAACCCACCACGCCAACGTCCGACTCGGGATGCTTCGTCCCAAGTGAAGTTAAGATCCGATCCCAGTTCGGTCGCCGATAGTGCGTCGGTGCGCAGAGGGAGGTAATAGCATCCTTCCTCGAGGCCCAGAAAAAGATGGGAGATGCAAACGAAAACGCGTCACAACAAGGCGAGGTAAGACGGATATATGCGCGCCATTCGCATCCTATTCCGCAAAGGTCTGCCAAACGAAGGAAGGACCGATGAAGAAAGGAAGGGATCAATCAACCCCCGAGAAAGACCAAACAAAAGAGAGAAGAGACGAAATCAGCCACCCAAGAGAATATCGATATGTGCGGCTCGGAACGATCCCACACACAGGGTATACGCGCCGAAAGAAAATGCATTCTGCGCTCGAGCAACGGCGAGAAATTCAGACGGAGGAGAAAAACGAAGAAAGGCAAAAAGACCCACCAACAAACGCAGCGACCGCGCTCGCGTCGTCGCCATCGTATTATCAATGTAGAATGTTACTGAGTTCCACGATGGACGAGCCTACACAAAGCAAACAGAAAGCGACTCCGACCAGAAAGCTCAATGTTTGCGTGTGTTGCTGCCTGATGGATCAAACATAAACGGGCGGCCCGACGGGCCCGACGAATTGGTTCTGATTTACTGTATCATTTCACATGTAACAACTACCGTCAACGCTGAAGCTTAGCTTTCGTTTCTCGCTCGCCATATCCCTTTGATCATGAGCAGTGTGCTTATGAATCCGGAACGGTGTTAGTCTTGTCTGGCCATGGGAACCAAGATAGGACTGCAACGGCGCCGATCGTCCTACTTTGGGCCCTTTTTCACTGTCCTCATGAGAAAACGGAGTCATGGGTGCTTTGATCTGATTGATACTCGCGTTCTTGCTTTAACGCAACCCTCAGCGCCGTGAAGCCCCTGCGTCGATAACGATGTCCAAGCAGCAAATGCGAATCGCCATCTGGTATGTGTGCGCCTGACTTCAGCGTACTTAAAATGTCTGAACCTCGGTGGGAACGCATGCAGTGGTGCCGGGATCGGAGGCCTAACTCTCGGCCTCACGCTCGGACTACACAGCGAGCACCAGGTCGATCTGTACGAGGCCGGAGCGGAGATCTCTACTATTGGCGCAGGCATCGCTGTCTGGGCACGCACCCTCGAAGTGCTGCAGCTGCTTGGTCTCCACGAACGGATGCGCGAGCGGGGGATATCTATGGAGGGTGCAGACCAGCAGCGTGCGTGCTCCTTCCGTATTAATATAATCACTGACACAAAGGTGCCTGTGTGCAGGGACTGGACCGAAGTTCAGGCGGTCAGACCAGGCGCATGCAGGCTACAACTTCTTGACCGACGTAACTTCAAGTGCGTTCATGTATCGCTTCAACATTCTCTCAAAAGCTGCGGCTCAATCGTACCACTGTTGTAGAAGGAGGGCTCTCTATGCACCGCCCCGACCTGATTAACCTGCTGAAGGACAGTCTGCCGCCGAACTGCTCGGTACACCTGCGGAAGCGCATGACAACCTACACCACCTCATCCTCGGAGTCAGATCTGATTAAAATGCACTTTGCCGATGGAACCACGGCAACTGCGGATGTACTCATAGGTGCGGATGGTGTACGCTCCGCCACACGCGAGACAATGTTCGAAGCCCTTGCAAACCAGTATCAGAACGGCTTCGATGGGATTAGCCGTGAGAGATTGCTGAGGTGCAAGGATCCGGTGTGGACGGGGACGTTCGCCTATCGATGCGTTTTCCCGGCCGAGAAGCTTAGGAAGATCGACCCAGGGCATCCGGGGCTGGATGACCAAGTGCTTGTAAGCCTCCAGCGTTGCTCACTTTAGTCTTGCGATTTACGCTCGACTCCTTTCCCCGAACTCGCCTAGGCTCTAGGCAAAGGCCGCGTCAGTTTCACCTGCGACGCTATGTCAGCCGTTATTGACGTGCTGCCCTCTAATACAGCATACTGTCTCATACCCAATAGCCCGCCGTACCCTTATTAACTTCCTCGGATTCGACACGATCCCCGGCGCTGAGGGTACACGATTTCCGGACAAGTGGGTACAGGACGTGCCCGTGAAAGAGCTTCGCGACCTCTATCGCGGCTGGGAGCCAGACATTCAGACACTGCTGGATGTACGTCCAGGTTGAAGGTCTATTGATAATATGTACTGACGCAGGGTCGTGTGCGTAGTGCGCTGATACTCCGTCGAGATGGGCAATCCATGTGACCGCACCGCTGCCTTTTTATGCGCAGGGTAATGTCACGTTGCTCGGTGATGCGGTGCGACATCTTTTGACCGATCTAAGGGCCTGCGTAATTGAGTACGCTAATGATCCAGGCGCATGCAATGATGACGCACTTTGGCGCAGCTGCTGGACAAGCGATTGAGGTGAAACATTGTCCTCCATGCTGGCCGAGTTCATGCGAAACGCTCACCCGAAACGTTAA